TGTGCTTTGCTAAGATTGTTCTAAGTAGGTGCTTTAGACCACTGAGCCGTCTCACCAGCCCTGTATGGATCATTTTTGAGAGAATTCTAAGTAATAAAAATATTTTCCTGTAGGAGAATGACAAGTATAATTTGCTTATAATAACTTAAGGACTGAGTGCAGTATTTTAAAGATTCCAGATTTTAAAGTTGTAAAATTCTCACTGAAGCAGTTTCAGAATATTTGTCACATTTCATGCTTGAGCGAATTTTAAGCATTCTTTGTAAGAATCTCTTGGCCTAGAAAATTAAACGCTTGCTCCTATTTTTTGTAATTTAGGTTCAAAAAAATGGCCAAAAGAATCGCCGAAAAGGAACTGACAGATAGGAATTGGGATCAAGAAGATGAAGCTGAAGAGGTAAGACTGCAGTCGCCTCCCCCCGCTGCATCTCCAGCTCTGAGACCCCAGCAGTGCTGTGAATAGTTAGGGAATTTTTGTTCTGTAGTTTCTTTCCTGGAAAAATAAAAACAATCTTGGGCCCGGGGAGATAGCTCAATAGAATAATCACTTGCCTAGCAAGCACAAGGGCCTGAGTTCAATCCCCAGTTCTGCAAAAAAATAAAATAAAATAATAAAAACAATCCTGCTTGAAGAAATCCCAACCATTTTTCCCTTAAATGACTAGGTCACAGTCGCATTTCTAGTGCCACACCCGCGCCAGCAAATCGACTCCTAGGCCAGTTAACTAAGGAAATCTGTGGCCAAGTTAGCCTTCAAGTTTACAGTGTAGTGCTAGGTTGTTTCATTTTGTTTTGTTTTTTATGTAAAGAATCTGGAGCTGGGGAGATAGCTCAGTGGCATAAGTGCCTGCCTGGCAAATACAAGGTCCAGAGTTCAATCCTTGATACTGCCAAAAACAAACACAAAAAGAATCAGTAGAAGTGTTTTGAAGCCTACTCTTACCAGGCATCTTCTTTCTAATAGTAGTGATTTTGTGTCTTATAAGCATATGCACTGCAGTGTTCAGGGAAACCAAAATGACCAGTGCGTTCATGTTTTCTCAGGGCCTCTAGCTGACTTGCTGGGTTTCGACTCTGGTCACAGATTTTTATGTTGGGGGGCTAGTTTCATTTGTGTAGTAAGTTGCTTTCACATTGAAATGTCCAGGAACGGAAGAACTCCCATTTGTGCCGCTTCTAATGAAGTGAATATAGAAGGGTTACATTTAATCAGTTGCAGTTCATTGGGGCAAGGATGGTCACGTGGTCCCTTGTTTAGATGTAAGTTCTCATGTGTGAAGTAACCACAGGTGAGAATTTTTGTACAGGAAGCCTACAACCTTCAGCAGACCCTTTTTCTAGACATCATTCTTTGCACAATATGGGAGAGTAGTCAGTTCCAGTAGAGTCCCTCAGAGTCCAACCCGCCACAGTGGCCTTGTGCACAATGGGCAGGATGCTTCTTTAAAAGTAACATGTGGGGCTGGTGAGATGGCTCAGTGGTCTAAAGCACCTATTTAGAACAAGCTTAGCAAAGCACAGGGACCACGGTTCAATCCCCCAGCACCACATGCCAGCCAGCCCCGCCCCCTGGTGGGCTGAGCTGGCCACACACACGCACACACACACACAAATAAAATTTAAAAAAATAAAAAATAAAAGTAACATGTACGGGGACGGGAGTGTCACACATGGGTAATTTTTTAAAGTATGTGGCTTGTAGAAATTTTGTTATTCCTCAGGACTTCAGAGGGGTTCCACTATCTGCTGTACCATCCAGCTTTTAGATGATAGCTTGTATTTCTTAAAAGTGGAATTTTAGTCTATGCTTCATTAATAAAATCTTATGCAAGGCCAGAATATTTGAAGAATTACCTGTGAGTATTTTTCACCAGTTTTGGTGATCTTAGTCTTTGGTGTGAACTCTCCTCTTTGGATTGAGGTGTGGTACCTGGATTTGTAGATTCTGGCAGGTGCACATTTGCCTAACTAGTTGGCTTCAGTAGGAACTGACAGAGAGCAGCCCTGAGCGCGCTCTTGCCGCGTGCATCCCATGGTGTGTGCTCCTGCGTGGGTGTAGCTGTATGCGAGCTGTCCTGTTTGCAGCCCATCTGCTGTCTGGCCTAACCTCGCTGCTGTGGAATTTGTGTGCTCCTACAGCTAGGGACCTTCTCAGTGGCCAGCGAGGAAGTCCTGAAGAACAGAGCCATAAAGAAAGCCAAGCGCAGAAATGTTGGATTTGAAGTAAGTGCTTACTTAGAGCTTTTGGTATTAAATACTAATTTGATTTCTGAGTTACAGAGCATTGTCACCTCGGGGAGCAATTATAGCAACAAATGCCTCTTTAAAAACAATTACTTAGCGCACTAAGTGCCTGCTTAGGCAAGCGCAGGGACCGGGGTTCAATCCCCAGCACCACATACTGCCACACCCCCTGAGCTGGCCACCGAGACCAGGCGTGGTGGTGCATGCCTATAATCCCAGTGCTGAGGAGGCTGAAAACAGAAGGATCACTACAAGTCTGAGCTGTGCAGTGAGACCTTGTACCAAATACATTTTTTTTAAAAATTACTTCTTGGATAGATCATGGGAGATAGAAAAAATAACAGGTTGGTGGGTTTTTTGTTTTGTTTTGTTTTGTTTTTTTGAGATAGGGTCTCACTGTAGCGCAGGCCTTGAGCTCACTTTGTTATGCCCAGGCTGGCCTCGAGCTCACAGTGAACCTCGTTTCTAGGATCGAGGTGTGGGGGGAAAGTCCTTTCATTGCACTGGAAGCAGTGCTTGTGTCCATTGTCTTTCTAGTGTGATAGTTTAGTGTGTGAAGATGCTTCATTCGTGTGCCCAGCAGGATAACACACGTTATAACTCTTGAACTGAAATGACGTAATAAGCCTATGGCAGTCACCCATACTGAAGAACTCTTGCAGCGGGGTGCAGTAGCACACGTGTGATCCTAGCATTTGGGGAGCTGAGGCAGGATGATCACAGTTCACCATCCACCCGGACAACTTTGCGAGAGCATGTATTCAAAAGGCTGAGGAGAGGGCTCGGTGTGAAGTCTGGGTGTCGCTCCCAGTACTGTCCCTAGCCCGTAAGACCTGATCCCCAGTACACTCTAGCCTCTTGAGTGTGGCGTGGGCACCCTGGACACCTGCAGTTGGGCAAGAGAAGCTGCTTTAAACATCCTGGGTCCAGTTTTGGAATAAACCTACGTAAGCACATTCTACAGTTTTTAAGGTGTTTTTTTTTTGTTTTTTTTTTTAAAGGATGAAATTGCTTATGTACTTACATTTCCCTTTTTCAAATAGAAAGAATAGTCTATTACACGTCTCACATTATGAGAAAAAACGAAAGGGTTTTGTTGTCAAAGTTTGAAAATTATGAAGGAGGAAGGGCATAGGGACTCCCAGGGAATATTTAAGAATCGTAAGAGTTCCTGTGATGCGTGCTGGTTGCGATGGTGCAGGCCTGTACTCCTGGCACTCAGGAGGCTGAGGTAGGAGGATGTTGTTAGCTCAGGGCCAGCCTGAACTGCACAGGGACACCCTGTCTCAAAAAAAAAAAAGTCACTATGGTGAATCAGTTACACAGAGTATCTCATAAATGTGTGTTACCAGGAAAATGATTCAAACTGCACATACAAATTTGTCTTCACTGAGAACACATTTACAGTAGAAACAAGTGTACTCAGGATTCTCAGGTGGTTCAGCGCTGTTCTTGTGGGCAGAGATAAGCAGTTAGTGACCCAGGTGGCTGGAACCTTTCCTTCACGCTGGTCCTGTAGAGCCCCAGTGGCGTGGCCCGGCGGAAGCAGCAGGCCTCAGTGAGGAGAAAGGGGTGGCCAGAGGTGCTCGTGGCATTGGCGTCTGTTTTTGTTTTACGGAGTTTGATCTCGTTAAATGGGCAGGCGGCAATGGCCCGTATTTATTGACAGCATGAGGTTTTGAATGACTGAGTTATCACATGCCAGTTTTCTTGGTGAGACTATTTTAAAACTCCCTGCAATCTTCAAGTATGTACTATTGTACATTGTAATAATTACCATAGTCACCGTGCTGTTGTATAATAGGTGTCTTAAATGTCACCTTTTGTTTTAATTCTAGTTTTTCCTCCAATCTGCTTTCACTATTGCTCTCCAAGAGTGGCCAGCTGGTGAATGTGGGTGTGGAGCTAGGACAGGGAAGGGAAGCCGTCCAGGTGGCACTCTGGGGCCGAGGCAGGAGGATCACAAGTTCAAGCCCAGCCAACAACTTAGCAAGACTGTCCTAAAATAGGACCTTACTCTGTACCAGGAGCAATTAGTGACCTATGTGACAGGTACCTTCCCTCTGCCCTGCTGCTGCCGCCGCTGCCTTCCAGCCATCAAGTGGCCTTGAACTTGCAGCAGTCTTCCTGCCCCAGCCCCAGGGCTGGGATTACAGACAGGCACCCCCCTGCAGCAAAAGGGTCCTTAGAAAGGGATGAGGCTCACTCACCAGTGTGGACCAAGGATGGGCAGTGTTGGCAGCCGGACTGAGGAGATGACTGCTAGACATGCTGTGTTGGAAGGCCCCATGGTGCAGTGCGTGCTGGGGTTCTCTAGAATGCCCTGGGGCCAGAACAAGGCTTGGAAGAGGGGGGAGTACTGCACAGCTGCGCCTGCTGGACACTTGTCCCCAACTCCCGCCCCGGCCTTCTGCATTTGAGAGCAGTGTGTGGTGATGCTGGAGCTGCTCTGCCCTCAGCAAGTGTCGCAGCTACAGAAACCAGGTGGCTCCATGTCTGGAGCACGCGGAGAGGCCTGAGGGGGTGCTTGCAGCTTCGGAGCTTGTCTACAGTGATGTAGCAGCATCAGCGTGGTGGATTTCAGGGTTAGTGGTCGGAAATCGGACCCAGAGCATTGACTGTAAATCACATCTAAGATTTCTCATCTTTGGCCTAATTTTATGGCTATAAATACATCAGCAGTCTGTAAGCATCTGAAATTCCACAGATGTGAGAGAAATTTTTGTGTTTGCGGAAGACATAGTATTTAGGCGCATCCAGGAAACGAGGTTCCAGTCAAGGTGCTTGTGGAGAGATGGTGCTCACACTTCATTCCCACGAGGACTTAGAACCAGGCCTCGGCCTGGGAGTCAAGTGGGAGACTCTCGCTTTCTACTTTATATGAAAGGGAGGCTTAAACAGCTGCAACTAGTAAGCGAGCACAGTGCTCTCCAGAGAAAGCTCTGGCCGGCAGTTCTCAGGGCAGAGAGCAGTTGGAAATTTCATGGACTCCCTGGAATTCCCAGAGCCCCGGGCTTGGAGATACGCAGGCTGGCACAGCTGAGAAGGCGCGCTTGCCAGAGAAAGCGAGTTAAAGCAGCAGCAGGAAGGGCCGGTGCAGGGCTGCCCTGAGAGCTCAGCACACGGCAAGTCTGAGGAGCACCTCGGGTCTCGCGTCTCCGCAGGCTGAGAACAGGTCGGAGCCACAGAGGCTTTAGGAGATTCAGTAAATAATTAAAATAGTTTTAGTTAACCTAACTTTTGTTGTTGTTGTTGTGGAACCGGGGATTGAACTCAGGCCGTGCTTCTGCTGTGCTGTCTCTCCAGCCCTAGTTAACCTAACTTGATGTTCCTAAAACTTGCTTAGGCAAATGGTTGTTGAAAAAGTACATGAACTTTTTTTTTTTTTCTTTTATTTGGGGTTTGCTGTGCTGGGAATGTTTTTAATTGCTGTTCTGCGGTGGGGTGGTGGGTGTGTGGATTTATTACATTGGTCTCTGGTATACCTTATCTTACCTGTATACCGGATGTCTAGCGTGGGTTAGTTCTGAACGACAGAGCTGCGTGTATCGCTTGGTTGTCCCCTCCTGTTTTTGCCAGTGCTGGCAGTCTTCCTGGTGCCTCTGGGCTCAGTGCTGTTCTGTTACTTACTTGCCTTCCTAACGCCTGCTCCTTCCTCCTATTGCAGTCTGACAGCGGAGGTGCCTTTAAAGGCTTTAAAGGTCTGGTTGTGCCTTCTGGAGGCCCAGGGTTTTCTGGATTTGGCGGGAAGCCTCTGGAAGGCCTGTCCAACGGCACCAGCGCAGTGAGCACTCCTGCCTTCGCCAGTGCAGGCACCAGCACCACAGTGGCGGCGGAGCCCAAGGCCACCTTCGGTGAGTTCGTTCCCCTGCCTCCTGCCACCTCTATGTAAGCAGTTAGTGAAAATAACTGCCTGGATGTTTTCCTTGTACTAATGTTGGTCCAGGACTAGGTGAGCAGAAACAATCAGGGAAGGTGGGTTCAGCAGGTAGGTAGAGCACTGGCATTATGCATTTGGTTCCTGGCACTGTTGGTTATGGCTCTGTGACCTTGATGACATTCCAGTGGTGAAGGGAGAACAACCTTCAGATTGATCTGAAGGGGCTGAAGGACTGTAGCAAAGAGAAAAAAAAGAAGAGTGAAAGACAGTGCCCTGAAGATCCTCCATGAAGGCTTGCCTTCCCGCCAGCCTCTTCCATCTTGGTGTGCCAGCACCTTGTCCCAAAGTGGCTACGAGGAGCCCACATGACCTGTTCCTGGACGGATCACTCCCAGCTGGGCTTGTCCAGGATGTGCTGATTGCCTGATCCTGTTGGAGAAATTAGTGTAGAACTCCTAGAATTTACATGGAAAACAGGGTCCTGGGTTAAAATCTTAGAAACATTGTTGACTGACTAGATTGTGTTTGACTAATTATCCTGAATGCATACTATTCGATCTTTATTAAGCAGAATGTACTAAGCACTTTGAGGCTTGAACTACTTTAATATATGTTGATCCTCAAAATTTTGAGGATTTTTATGCTAACCCAATATGCTGACAGTTCTGTTTGAAATAAACATCCTTTTGAAGGAAAAGGTAAGCTTTATGTAGCAGCGTAACGTGAACGTGCGATGCGTACTGTTCCTTACTTAATTGGCAACCACTTCCTCATACCAGTGTAACTTCTTACACTTGTTGAACTGTAATACAAATAGAACACAATAAAAGAACTAGGAAGGTAGAGTGGAATGAAAGTTTGGATGGCTTGGAGAGAGTAGGTAGAGCTCTCAAAGGCACTTTAGGCCAAGACCAGACCCCCCAGCACACGGGAACTGTCACAAAGAATCAACAACTAGGATCTCATCTTTTTAAAAAGCTTTTGCACAGCAAGGGAAACCACAGCAAGAGACAACCCACGTGTTGGAAAAAAGCATTTGCCAGCTATACCTCAGACGAAGGATTACGGTGGAGAACATACAAAGAACTCAAAAAAATCAGATGCCCCAAATTAACCCAATCCAAAACTGGGCACCTGAGACGAATACACACTGTTCAGATGAAAAGGTACAAGCATCAAATAAATATATGAAAAATGTTCCGCACCCCCAGTTATTGGAGAGATGCAGATTAAAACAACACTTAAGCTTTTTTTTTTTTTTGGTCTGGTGGCCTGAAGATTCCTTGAGGGCATTTCTGGTTTCCTGTGAGAAACGGGGTTCGAACCACAGCATCTTGAGCCTGACTGCTTTGTTTAGCAGGCACTTAAACAACTGAGCTAATGCACAGGCCCCCAAATGGCAGAAGCTTTTTTTTTCAACTTCATTGAAGAATTTATGAAGCAGACGCAATGAAATCTCTAAATATCTTTTTTTTTTTTTTTTTTTTTTTTTTGGTGTAAAACAGCACTGAGATTCCATCTCACCGCAGAAAGAATGGCCAGTGTCAAGAAATCAACCAATGACAAGTGCTGACAGGGCTGTGGGGAAGGAGACTGGTGCAGCCACTGTGGCAGTCAGTGTGGAGAGTCCTCAAAAACAAGACTAGAGGGGCCGGGGAGATGGCTCCGTGGAGTAAGCGCTTCCCTGGCAAGCGCAAGGGCCTGAGTTCAATCCCTGGTTCTGCCAAAAAAACCAAAACTAGAAGTCCCATTTGACTGAACTATTCTGCATATAGGTGTCTTCCTGTAAGAATTAAAGACATCAGACCACGGCGATATATGCACTCATGTCTATAGCAGCCTGGTTTGTAGTAGGCAGATTTTGAAAACAGCCCAAAAGCCCATCAAGCAAGGGATACAGATGCGGTATTCTTTTACACAATGGAGTATTACTCTGCCATAAAGAAGGATAAGCTTGAGACATTCCTAGGTGAAAGGGTGCACCTGAAGACCGTTCTGTTCAGTGAAATAAATGGAACGCACGTGTGTAGATGCCGTGTTGTTTCTCTGCCATGAGAAACTGAAAGTGTAAATGAGGTCCAGAATGTATACTAGGCGTTATAGGTATTGTGAAGCAGGAAGAGATGTTCACACGGGGAAGGGAACAAGGGGGAGGGGAAGAAGAGAAAAGTAGAAAGTGAGAAGGAAACAGTGGAAATGAGGCTTTTTTAAATGGGGAGGGGAGTGTGGGAAGGAAGAACACGATCATGCCATGCACAGGTGCACTTTCTCTGTGATGAATGTGACTTGTGCATATCTAAGATGTACCAATGAAATCTGATTGCAGGAAGACAAATTTGGATGCTTTAATCAAGTCAGCTTCTAAGGAACTGTTCAAACTTTACTTTCCTTTAGGTTCTTTTGCTACAAATGGCCCTGCTGCCGTGGTTGATAAAAAAACTCCAGATCCCAAAACGAACTGTGACAGCCAGTGGGCCCCCTCCTCCTCCGGCCTCGCCCCCCGCCAGGCCTGCCCCGGGGATGCCTACCACAAGCAGCTGGCTGCCTTGAACTGCTCCGTGCGGGACTGGATCGTGCAGCACGTGGACGCCAACCCCGTCTGCGACCTCACCCCGGTCTTCAAAGACTACGAGAAGTACTTAACGACGCTGGGGCGGCAAGTTGACAGCCGGGACAGCAGCACTTCTGATGGCGAAGCTAGCAGGATGGTGGTTGACACGCAGCCCCCTACTCTCTTTGGCACGACAAAGCTGCCGCAAGAATCGGCTTTTTTGTTCAATAGCAGCAAAACTGAAGATGCGGCTGAAAAGAAGATGGAGGCAGTGTCTGAGAAGAAGGCGGGCCCAGCCCAGGGAGCAGCAAGTGCCTCCTTCAGCTTCGGCAAGAAGATCGAGAGTTCGGCTTTGGGCTCCGCAAGCTCTGGCCCCACAACTGGCTTCTCATTTTCACCTGGGAACTCTAGTTTATTTGGCAAAGATGTCACCCACAACAAACCAGTGTCCTCACCATTTTCTGCTAAGACATCAGAGAGCCAAGCAGAAGGCAGCAGTGAGTGCAGAGGTGAGTGGGAAGCTCGTTGCAGGAACGCACAGGCCTGGGGTCTGGGTCAACCTGGACTCGCAGGGTAACTCCGCCACTTCCCGTGCGCACCGCCTGGGCCAGGTTGGAGGTCCTCATCCATAAGGAGAAAGAAGAGCCAGCTTTTAGGGTTGCTGTGAGGACCCGAGATTAGAAAGTGGAGCAGGATGTGCTCAGTGGTAGGGTGCAAGCACCGCCCTAGCGTTTTAGGGCCCCAGTTCAAGCCCCAGAACCACAAAATGTCTACATGTGTATGACGAATACAAGGACTCCTGGCACCATGACTTTGGAAGGAGCCAAACACTGCTTTGCATAGTAAAAAGAAATGAATTAAAAACATCTTTTTTTAAAAATGTAGTTTGTTTAGGGTCTCACTATGCAGCTTGGACTTGTAGTGATCTTCCTGTTTGTTCAAGCCTCCCAGTGCTAGGATTACAGGCATGAGCCACCACACCTAGATTCAGGGGCTGGCGCAGCATGTGGTGCCAGGGATTGAACCCTGGTTCCTGCACTTGCCTAAGCAGGTGCTTAGTCCACTGAGCTATCTCAACATCCTTAAAACATCCTTTTGAAAACTTGAGTTTATGAATACCCATTGAATTGTTTTGTTTGTAGATTCGGCTAAGAAGAACCACACAGTTAAAACTTGGCTGTAATTAAAAAGGTAGCCTTTCGTAGCCATAGGAAACCAGCCCCCAGGGTTCATTCCTTCTGGGTGCTGCCCCTTTCTTCAGGGTCGCAGCTGGTGCCAGAGCAAGGGCCGTGCTGCAGGTGGGCTGAACCCGCCCTGCCCCTGTGCCGTCCTCGACTCCGAAGGAGACAGCCTGAGACCGGCGTGTGGCTTGGGTGTGAACCGTGGCCCTGTTTAATGACCTGGCTGCTCTTGCCAGTTTCCACTGCAGCACCAAAGTTTCCATCTGGCCTTGTCTGGAGTCTTTAGGCCGTCCTGGCAGGGCCGGGCGAAGGAAGGCCGAGGCTCTCCGTTTACCCCTTCTCTGCCTCCCCAGGGCAGCCGTGGGGCTGCGGTGGGCGCCGCGGCTCCGGCACAGTTGTGGTGCATTTGAGTCAGGCCAGGCAGCCCGCAGGCTCCCCTCAGGAGCACCTGTGCTCAGCTCGCAGTTATCGTTTTTTTCTTTTTTTGTGGAATAGGATTGAGCCCAGGCGTTCTTACTGAGCTGTATCCCCAACCCTTTAAATTTTGTTTTGTTTTGTTTTGAGCCAAGCTTTCAGTAAGTCACCAAGAATCCCAGCACTTGGGTGGCTGAGGCGAGAGGATCACTGCCAGTTGGAGGTCTGCCTGGGCTACGTAGTCAAGGCTAGCCTGAAATGCACAGCAAGACCCTGTCAGAAAAAAGGCTTTAAGTTGCCTAGCCAGGACTCAAACTTGTGATCTCCTGCCTGAGCCTTCTAGCATGCTGGGATCACAGGCATGGGCCACCAAGCCACCTTTGATGGGCTCGCTCCATGCCCCCGAAGGACTTAATGCCCACACTCCCCTGGAGAGCTGAACCCTGGAGTTCTGGACTCTTGAAATCTCCCAGGAGGTCCTAGACTTCTTTTGGTACCTTCTCATAATTTAAATTGTGTAATCTAAGTCCTCTGAGAGTTTCCCCCACAGAGATGCATTTGAATTTTGTTTTCAGAGAGGACTCCTCCTGAGTCTCAGACCCTGCAGTGATGAGTGAAGGAGCCCTCCGGCCCAGCCCCAGGTGCCTCATACTGGGGAGGAACTGGTGGCGTTCAGGCCCTGCTCGCCTTTTCCAACACACTTCCTGTGTGAAAAGACTCCAGGGGCCTGCCTTTAGCTCAGTTGTTTAAGTGCCTGGTCATGCAAAGGCAGTCAGGAGCAGGATACTGCGGTTCGAGACCCAGCTCTCCCTGCCTTACCAGACCTGCCCTTCAGGCAGCCTGAGCCACCAAAAAAGGAAGGGAGAGAGAGAGGGAGGGACTCCATTTCCCCATCTGTGGCCACTCCTAAGGCACTTATTCCTGAGCATGGCACACAGTCGGGCTGCTCGAAGCTGACGGTATTACAAGTTCCTGGGAGCCTGATTTTCCAGTGGGTAATCACAGCGTAAACAGTTGAGTGTAGGCCCACTATTTTTCTGTCAGTCTCCTAAGCATGGAGCATTCTGTTGTTGATGCTCTAGGGCTTTCAACAATTTGGAAATTATCTTAAAATAGGAAAATAGGTTTCTATTGAAAAACATCCTTGTTGGCACAGTGACACATGTCCATAATCCCAGCACTTCAGGAGGCTAAGGCAAGAGGACTGCAAGTTCAGGTCCAACTTCAGAAATTTAATAACTTAGTCTTTAAAAATAATAAGGACCAGGAGTATAGCTCCGTAAAAGGCCTTGGGTTCAATCCCAGGGCAACAATAAAAATTGAGTATTTTTCACAGAATTAAAACCTTGTGCCCCCGCCCCCATAAGGTGTGTTTTTAGTCTTTAAATTTTTTTAAATCTTTTATTTATTTTAAAAAATCACTTCAGCCCTCTTAGATATCCTCCTGTCTCAGCCTCCCCAGTGCTGGGATTACAGGCGTATACCACCAGGGACTTTCAGGGACTGGCACGACATGCAGGTTTTTGTGCTTATCAGGCAGGTGGTTAGACCGCGGAGCTATCTCCTCAGCCTGTTTTTAGAATTTTAAATTGGCCTACTTGGCCTGTTCCAGGCAGAGAGTTGGGGCCGTAGATAGCAGTGCCTGCTCTTCCAAGCTCTTGATCTGACCCTGACTGCTGTTTTTGTAAAAGGTGCAGATGAAGAAGAAAATGATGAGCCGCCCAAGGTAGTGGTTACCGAGGTGAAGGAAGATGACGCCTTCTACTCCAAAAAGTACGTGGTGGTTGGACCTGGGAGGTGTGGGGCTTGAGCATCCCCTTAGGCCTTCGTGTGCTGGGCAGGGCGCTTTGTTGGCTTGGGTAAAACCAGCCAGTCCCGGAGATTTCCTGCTGAGGTGCTGAGGTGCTCAGCAGCAGGGGCTCTTCTCTCTGCTGGAGGTGGTGTGGAGACACTGTCCACCACCCTCCCCTCTTTCTCTTTTCACATCCCTCCAGAGACTGCCCCAGCCTCGGTTTGGTTTTATGTCTGCACACAGGCAGCGTCTCTGGTTCCTTCTTGCAGGGCTGCTTGGCCTGTGGGTTTCTTCACAGCCAGGGACGTGCTCAGGGCTGTGAGGGCGGGAGCGCCGCAGTCGGTGGCAGGCGGGGGCCTTGGTTTGTTGTTTAGGAGGGGGTTCACTTGTTTTTAAATAAGAACTGCCTCTTTCAGAAGCTGCAAGAGAAATTTGAATGGCATTTGAACTTTTTGTAAAGATACTTGTGCTATTCAGAAGCTTTATAGGGTCTTCTTCCAAGACAAAAGTTTAGTGAGTCTATAATTTTCCACTGTGAAATTAGCTTGTGATTTAATTTTTGAGAACTTCTAAAGGGCTAATAGTTGCTTTTGCTTGCTTTTAATTTAATTTTGTGGGTGACAAAGAATGAGCTTGACTTTAGGATATTTATTCTTTTTTTTTTTTTTCTTTATGGTTAGTGATGTTCTTTCCATACACTTGCACCAATGTCATTGTGTCAGTTTACTGAGAGTGCACGATTCTTGGGCACAGGGCTATCGTTTGTACACTTCCTATTTCAGCTTTTACTGAATGTGAATAGTTCTCTGTTGCCTATATTTATGAATCCAGGCTCTTTCCCAGTTCGCTATTGACTTATTTCTCTGTTTATTGAGTCATTCTTTGTTGGCTTGCTGGATCAAACTTCAAAGAAAATCATTACTGTCAAGCAAGACCAGGTCTCCGGGGAGATGGCTCAGTGGAATAAGTACTTCCCTGGCAAGTGCAAGCAAGGGCCTGAGTTCAATCCCCAGTTCTGCAAAACAAAAAATTTCCTATACCTGGCCTGAAAGCCTGAGATCCAGCCAAGGAGGATATTTCTTTTAATCAGAATAAATCCAATGAACAGTGATTTTGTTTTCTTGCTAACCTGAAGGTTGCCAGTAGCAGACACATCAGAGAAACCTGAGAAGGGAGTTGGAGAGAGTAGGGCAGGGCAGGGGAGGAGCAGCACGATGGCGGTGAGGGCCGGAGGTCCGTCAGTCCTCCCACGGAGGGACAGGACGGATTGGGAGGTGCAAGGCGGCAGGCTGAGCGCTGGACTGGCTGGAGGAAAGATGGGCTCGGAAACCTTCTTATAAACGGGAGGGATTCTGGAATCCGCAGCTCCATTCTGGCACTGTACTGATCCGTCTGTTTGACAGTTCTCTGACCTCAGCAGATTTCCTCACAGCTGTCAACAGCAGCCATTGGAAACTGTGACCTGCTACTGGGCCTGACTGTGCCTGTTAACTTTGCTTCACAGGTGTAAGCTATTTTATAAGAAAGATAATGAATTTAAAGAGAAGGGTGTGGGCACCCTGCACTTAAAACCTATGGCAAATCAGAAGACGCAGCTCTTAGTGCGGGCGGATACCAACTTAGGTGAGTGCCTCTCTCTGGGGTGGTACGAGGTCATCTTGGTCACAGGGTGTAAAGCCCTGCCCCTCCCGACACCAGCCCTTGATGTTTTCAGGTTCCCTGGCGTGTGGTGTGGGAGATCACTCAGGACAGACTCATCCTTTATCCCGTATACACTTTGGCTTGGGGCACTGTGAAAATACTGTGAAAGAAAATGTCAGTTTATTGAAACTGTCACCAGTGGGCCAGGGAATAGCTTGGTGGCTTAAGCACCTGCTTGGCAAGCACAAGGTCCTGAGTTCAATCCCCAGTACTACAAAAAAAAAAAACTATCACCAAAAAGTAGACAAAGTAACTTACATTTTCCTTTATGGTAGATGTGATTAGGAAGCTAGAGGTAAGTTGGGTGCTTTAGGAAACACCCAAGGGGAGTGAGCCATTCTGGGAGCCTTCCTACGTGGCCCAGGCCTTACCCGTCACTTGTGCTCTAAGCTGGGAGCTGCGCCCAGCGAGGGCCTTGCTTTCCAGGGCTGGTCACTCAGGCCATGGAACAGAGAGAAACTTCTGGAAGCATTTCCCCCACGGCCGGCTCATTTGAAATACCACCGTAGTGTAACTCTCCCTGGTGTGCTGTGCTCTGTGACCGTGCTGTTGTCCCCTGCTGGTCACTTATCCTTGTTCTCGTGGCATATGAAGACCCAGAGGTGTGGCCCTCTCTTGGTGAAGCTCAGGGAGTCTTGGGCACAGTCTGGTGGCCGTCGGGACCAGTGCCTAAGTTCCTGAGGTCGTGGCGACTCCCAGTTTTAGGTCCCTTGAGTGTGCGACCTTCGGTGTGTAGCACGTAGCTTGCTCCGCGCCCCGTTGGAGCTGTGCCTCATGTAACGGTGCTGTGCGTTTTCCTGTGCGGATGCAGGCAACATACTGCTGAACGTCCTCATCGCACCCGGCATGCCGTGCACGCGGACGGGGAAGAACAACGTCCTGATCGTGTGTGTCCCCAACCCCCCTCTGGACGAGAAGAACGCCAGTGCCCCCGCCACCATGTTAATCCGAGTGAAAACCAGCGAGGACGCAGATGAGCTGCACAAAATTTTACTGGAGAAAAAGGAAGCCTGAACGTGCCACGTCGGCTGAGGGATTATCGCCAAGTTGCTGCTGCCCCCACGCCCCTTGAGCTTCTCTTCTCCTTGACCTTCGAAGAACTTCTAGGTAACTTAAAACTTTCGTGAGGAAGACTAGGCCAATAAAACCTTCCCATGCTAAGTGTCAAGAGACTGTCTTCTCCCTTCTTCAGAACTGTCTAAAGTGCAAAATACATTTGAAAGTTTTTGGAAGATTTTTTTAATGTTCATTTATTAAACTATCCCTAAGTGATCTCTTAATGGACTGCAATCAGGGTCCCGCTGAGCCTTCCCAGAGGCTGTGTACCCGCGGGGTCTGGTCGTGCTGCCGCACACAAGGCCTTCCCACCTGGGAAAACAGCGCCACGTGGCTCTCCTCTCCTGTGGGCTCCCCGATCTCCAACCGGCACTCTTACCAAATGAACCACGCCGCCACGCTGTGACTGAGACATTTCTCCCTGCGTCACTTGGTTTTGTTTCGTTCTGGAGCTCCAAGGTGGGTACTGCGTGCACCTGCTGTGCAGCGTTAGTCACTGTGCAGTCTTTGGCCTTTAACCCTTGAGCTGCTCTACTGTAATTCAGGACCTGCCTTCAGTTGAGAAGGAAGTGCACCGCTTGTAAAGTTCTTGGGCTTTGTAGTTTCCATCCATGAGGTTTTGTTACTCTTTATCCCCTGGAGAAGGGGATTGCCAGGAATGGGTTTCAAAGCACAAATTTTGATTATTTATAGACCATGGACAGTAAGCCCTTAACAGGGAAAGCGAAGGGAGACAGACTGTACATACTTCCAGAACTGTGCTGGTGGTGTTTGTTGCAGATGAACCTTATGGGTGTGAAAACTACATAGGCACTTGGACTCCCACGAGCCGTGAGAGTTCACCAGGCACCATGGAAGGAGTGGAGGAGAAGGTTGTGTATTTTGCCTTTAAATTTAGACACAGGATATTATGCACTTGCTGTCTGAAATACCCACTCTTTTGAAGACCTAGGTGTTTACTTGGAAGGGAGCCATGACTATGCAGAATGTCCTTGTCATTTCCCCGAAGCTCTCAGGTGACTGGCATCACAGGAGCAGTGACCAAGTTTCCGCTTTTCCCGCGTCTTGTTGCCATGGTAGCTGATGCTCTGGTCAGTGCCCAGTGGCCCGCGCTTGTGTCTGCTCACTTCAGCCTGCCCTGCGTGAGACCTTGGGTGGCAGGAGTGGGTGGCGCAGGGCTGGTGCAGCCCCGGATGAGGTGCGCAGCAGCTCCAGGTCTTGTCCTGGAGCGTAGGTGATCGCTGCGTGGCACCAGGCGGTTTCTGGTTCCAGGGGAGAAGTTGACCCGTGTGTGACTTTGGATGAATCAGCGCACGAGAAGTGCCAGTGCCATTCCTGGGTGTGGCCTGACGCTGCGCCGTGCTGTGCAGCCCAGCCCAGGGAGTGAGTGGCAGTGGGTTGTGCATTACTGTTCTAGACTGAAGGTGTTCATAAGTTACAGATGCTTTAAGGTAAGTGGATACTGGCCTTGCCTTTGTCACATGGGGTAGGTCAGCCTTTTGAAAAATGACATGGAAATAAGGGGAGCCAATCGGCATTGCTAGGAACACTTGTTTAGTACCAGGCGTGTGGTGGTGGGTGTTACTGAACGACTCGAGAGATGGCAGTAGGGCTCCCTTTTAACTCTCTGCCCCTAAAGCCAAGTTTGTTTTTAAATCAGTGAATGTGTGTAGCTTTCTTTTTTTTCTAACATTCCCAGCAAATTTTTGCTGCTAAGACTATCACTGTTAAAGTGAAAATTACAGGGAAAAATGTATTTTCGTAAAACTTTTTTATGCTTTAGGAACTTGTTGGTCTCCACTTTATGTATTTGTGTAAAAGAACCTGTGTGGGTTTTACTGTAAGCTCCAACTCCATGTATGCCAGTGTGGGGAAGCCAGGGCCCCTGGAGGGCTCTGTTCTCCGTGGTGTTGGGAGCTAATTCTAATCCATGGGTAATTTTAGTTCAGTTTATTTTTAATAAAATACTAGAAATCAGGCTTTAGAATGTTTAATGTGGACTTTAGTTTAAAAATCTGTAAATTGTAGCATATCCTTGGCCTAAAGTAAGGTGTGTTTTTTTTTGTTTGTTTGTTTGTTTTTTAATTCTAACTCAAATTGCATCCTGACAAATGCTGAGTATCTCTGTGGCTTTTTATTTTTTCAGACCGACATGTACATCTCAGCCTTTTTTCCCCCCACATTCCTGCTAAGCAAAAAATGAGTGTTATGCTGTTTTCCTTACTAGAATTACACACTGGAAATGTCCAGTTCTGTGGCTTGGTTTGGTTTCTTAGGTTTTGCTTTTCAGTACCGGGGATTGGACTCAGGGCCATGTACGTGTGGGCCGACAGTACCACTGAGCTACATTCCTAGCCTTCTGCTTTTTTTGAGACAGGGTCTTGCCACATTTCCCAGGCCGGCCTTGAGCTTGCGAGTCTGCCTTCGCTTCCCAGGCAGCTGGGGTTACAGGTGTGCACCCCACACCTGGCCAGCAGGTCCAGTTTTTAAAGAACTTTAGATTGTTTTACATGAAGGGACAAGTCTGACCATTCATGGATCAATTTTCTTCAAGAGGATTATTTTATTTTACAATTTCACTGCTAAGTCCTATCTTTTATATGCTGCATGCCAAAAAATAAAAACCTACCTGTTCTGGGGTGGAAGAAGAAACATTTCACCTTACTTTTAAAGAATTCAAAAGTTTTCACTGAGAGCCTATTCACTATGATTGTAAACACATTTGTCCTCACGCATTTGCCAGTAATTGTGCTATTTCCAGAGTCTCAGTGCAAGATTACGGCATTGGGAGGCTTGCACTTTTTTTTTTTTTTTTTTTTTTTTATGGTGGTGGTACTGGGGCTTGAACTCAGGGCCTTGTGCATGCTAGGCAAGCACCCTACCGCTGAGCTATAGCCCCAGCCCCATCTGAAGGCTTTGCACACCAAGCAGCCCGCTGCACACTGGGCCCGTGCTCTGAAGTGGGCTTACAGCTCTGGATTGGGCGCGCTGGCACTGGTCCGTGCTTACCCCTGTGCACAGCCTCCATGTGCACTCGGCCAGCTGCCGTCGTGGTCAGGACTGAGGACTCGCTGTCCTTGGAGACAGAACTGCAAGGGAGATGTCAAAGTGTGTAGCAATCAAATGGAGAAACCGTTTGCTTTGGACTTTGAATAGGAAACTTTTCTACAACTAAAATACTTGAATTGTCAGATAATGTACTCTGTTGGTATTAGCTTTTCAATGATCCTTTTGCGGAAGTGTAACAATCCATGAAATGTGAATAAATTGGAAAGTCAACGGAAGCAGTGTCTGATGTATTTGCTCATCTCTGATGCATTGGGTGGGGACCTGGGTGGACACTGCAGGAAGTTGCATTGGCAGACGGCTGTCTCCTCCCTGTGTGGGACGAGCCACCTCCAGGGGCCCGTGATGGACCAGCGTGGGATGGGAGCCTCTCCAGCCAGGGTGACTCCATTGCTCTTTTTTTTTTTTTTTTGGCGGAACTGGGGATTGACCTGGCCCCTCCATTGCTCTTGAAAACAGGTGAACCTGGATTTGTGCTCAGGTCTCAGGCAAAGAGTGAACACTTGAGGACACTTTAAGAGAATCAAAAATGAAGAAAAAGACATTTTAAGTTGATCTAAATTTTTGATGATTTAAAAAATTGTTATTAGGGGCTGGGGAGATGGCTCAGTAGAATAAGTGCTTCCCTGGCAAGCAGAAGGGCCTGAGTTCAATCCCTGGTTCTGCAAAAAAAAAAAAAAAAAAAAAAAAAGAAGAAAGAAAATTGCTATTAAAGAATTAACAGGTGAAATTCTAATTATGATAGTGCCTTGGAGCCCTGGTTGTAGTTTTTGAATGGGGTTTGTAGGAATCCCGAGTAACTCGAAGGGGTGCTTCCTGGGACACAGGCTGTGCCCAGTAGGGAGCTTCTCAGCGTGGTCCTGGGACTGGCATGCCCAGAAACCTTGCCAGAGACGCAAAGCCTTGTCCTGAAACTCACGATCCCCGTGCCTCAGCCGCCTCAGTGCTGGTCACAACTGTGTACAGCTGCTATGTTTTAAATTGAGATGGAATTTATATAAAATTAACCTTAAAGTGCTTAATATAGGAAGTGATTTTTTTTTTTTTAAGGTACTAGGGATTTCACCCAGGGGCCTCACACTTAGCTGCAGCCCCAATCCTTTCCAAATTTTAAATTTTGGGGGCCAGCAAGATAGTTCAGCAGACTAAGCGCCTGCTTAGGCAAGTGCAGGGACCAGGGTTCAGTCCCCAGCACCACATGCCACCCCCAGGCACCTTAGTTGGCCACCAAGACCAGGTGTAGTAGCACAGAACTAATCCCAGTGCTGGGGAGGCTGAAAACAGGAGGATCACCAAGTCTGAGCTGCATAGTGAGACCCTGTACCAGATATATAAAAATAAATACATCTTAAATTTTGAGAAAGGATCTCATGAAGTCACTAAGCTGCCCATGCTAAGCTTGAACTTGGGGACTGGGAAGATAGCTCAGGCATCTAAGCAGCAAGCGCAAGGACCCAGGTTCGATCCCCAGTACTGCATACCGTGCCAGCCCTGTGCCAAGCCAGCCACCAAAACTGGGTGTGGTAGTGCACGCCTATAATCCCAGCACTGGGGAGGCTGAGACAGAAGGATCATTATGAATCTGAGCTACATAGTGAGACCCTGTACCAAATAAATAAAGACTTTAAAAAAATTAAATTTGAGATCCTCAGCCTCCCACAGTGCTGGGATTATAGGTAAGTGCCACCATATCTGGTTTATTTTTCTTGTGCTGGGGATTAGACTCAGGACCCAGTGTACACAGGCAGATGCTCCACCGGCTACATCGAGCCCAACAGTGCAGGTTCTTCCTACACCCAGAGGTGTCGGGCTATTGCTGTTGATTCCGGAGTGTTGCACCAGCAGCCGCTGGGTTTCAACAAGCTAGGGAGTTGAGGAGCACAGGTTCGGGGGCGCTTCCTCTGCATGAACCTGGACTCTTGCGTCCCACCTTGGGGATGAAGTGCCACCTCAGAGTCACTGCCCTGGGGAGGTAAGCATTGGCCCAGCGTCTCCTCAAGAAAACCTGCCCTGCTCTCAGCAAAGCTGCTTGCGGTGGTGGCCCGCCTGTGTGGCTCTTGGCCACAAGCTCTTGAAAATATGGATGTGCCCCGTGACTAAACCGACTTCTGGGATTGGCTAGTCTGAGCAAAACTGTTTATTGAAAATACAGTCAAATTCACTAAAAACCATGGTCACTTCAAACTTAGCAACTTCCTTGATTTATCAACAGAGTCCAAGATGAGAAAGCCCCACCCGCACATGGAGAGAGAAAAGGCAGGCCTGCGAGGGGGGCTGCTGGGGGTAATCCAACAGGCGGCTCCAGAGAGCACGGGCACCTGGGAGCATGGCCTTCCATCTCGGTGTCCACAGCCAGCTCCTTTGGGTTTCCTTTGCAGGGACTGAGTGCTGATGGCTCCCTCACCAGGGAGCGCTTCCTCCACGTTTCTTGCAGGCGCTTCCTGTACCCTCCTGCCCCAGGAGGGCCTCTGGCTCCTAACAAAAACCCACCCTGGAGGTGGCTCTGAGGCTGTGGCTACCTATGAAGAACTCGCAGTAGCGGGTGCGGGAATGCAGGGGTCCAAAACGGCCCTTCCAGAGGGCCCGGGCGCGGCTGTCCAAGCTGCCAGTCTCAGGTGCAAGTTCCCACTTCTGCGAGGATTTTGGAATTCGCTAGAGAAAACTGGGGTATTTATAGCACAGCAGCCAGGGTACATGGGGTTCTGGGCGCTGAGAGCCACAGCCAGGACGCATCTCGTGATGCTAGGGTGCCTCACAGGCCCCCGGGGCTCCTCAGCACAGGGCGAGTCCTGCCAGCGCCCACACATCCTGACCCATAGCAGCACCTTGTGTGAAGGCTCCGAAGAGCCTTAAGGGCTCTGGGGAGAGTGAGGGCCTTAAATGAAACTGTCATGAGACTGTCCCTTGACTAGTGAGTGTCCGCAATGAACCTGAAGTATGTATTACAGAAGAATAACTAGGTACAGCTTAGAGGGAATCAGAAGAAATAAGCTTAATATGTAACATGCAAAGTGGCTTTGCAAAGAAACATGAAGTTGTAAAGCAAGATCCCAGCCAGCCTCAAAGCCTGCCTACACTTCTAGGGGATGGGGAAGGTGCAGGTGAGGTTCATGGAAGGTTAGGGAGGAGGAAGCTTCCTAACCGAGCTGCACGATGGCTGTTCTGATCGCCAAGCTCAAGGCCTGGAATTGTTAGCAATAAAAATGCCAAGTCCCCTCAAGAGTAATAGAAAATTGTAAACTCGTAGCCTCCCTTCACACATGCACAGCGCACAGGCGGTGGGCAGCGGCGCCACATCCGGGACGCCTCCTGCCCTGAGGCCGTGGCTACACCCTGTGGACTCACCCTGTGCTGAGGAGCCCTGAGGGGTCCGTGAGCGACCATGTCATCATGAGATGCGTCCTGGGCGTGGCTCTCAGTGCCCAGAACCCCATGTACCTGGCTGTCGTGCTCTCCCGCGGAGCCCTGACCCAGCCGGGGCCACAGGGGTCACCTGTCTTCCGTGTGCCGCTGTCTGTGGGTCCCAAGGGATCCCTTCTTGAGAGAAGCACATCAGTGAAAGGGAAGAGAAAAGAGCCCTCGGCACCACCGCCACGCTCCCGGCAAGACAGGCAGCACCACAGCCACCAGGCCCAAGCAGCTGTCCGAGGGCTGCAGCTGCCCTCCCCTCGGCACCCACATACGAGGGCCTGGGCAGCATCCCATCACGTAGTCCCTGTCCTGTTCAGAAAGAACTCTTGTTGTTTGTGTATTTAGTAGAGGCTCTGCAGGGTCTCACTACACAGATCGGACTCGCAGTGCTCCTCCTGTTTTCAGCCTCCTAAGCGCTGGGATTACAGGCGCGCACCACCTCGCCCAGTCTGAATTCTGCTTTCTGACAAAGACAAGAGCAAGTCTGGAAGGACAGCCGATGTGACATCAAGACGCTCGACTTCTGCCAGCCCAGAAAAATGCGGCCAGGAGCAGCGACCCTCCATGCTCAGGGGCAAGTTGGATTTTCACCTCTTCTTTGGTGCTGCTGGCGGTTGGATCCTGGGCCCTCACACTGAGCTTCATTCCCAATCCTTGTTTTTAGGGTTTTTTTAAACAAAAGTCCCAGGACCTGGGGCTGTCGTTCAGCGGCACGGCACCTGCCTGGTAAGTGCAAGGTTGTAAGTCTGGTTCCTGGTGCCAAATAAAGACAAAGGACTCAAACTTGGAGTCCTTTCACCTCAGCACCAAGTGCTGGGAATACAGGCGTGCACCATGACACTCCCCACGTTGGCAGATTTTTACTATAAAAGGCTTTAACGAATTTTGGCGCAGGGGCCAGGGGTTCGATCTCAGGACCTGCCATGCCGGCCCTGGCGCCGAGACGGCAATCGAGACTGGGCGTGGGGGCACACACCTGTAACCCCAGCTCTTGGGAGGCTGTCAACAGGCAGAGCACGAGTCCAATCTGGTAGTGAGACCCTGAACACCCTGTAGATCCTTCCCTAAAATAGAGGGAAAAAAAAAAAATTTTTTTTTTTTTGGGTCAGGTTTCAGCCATTCAATTTTAAAGTCTTTGGGGTTCACTGGTGCACGCTGGTAATCCCAGCACTTGGGAGGCTGAGGCAGGAGGGTCACTGAGTTCGAGGCCAGGCTGGGATACACAGTGAGTTCGAGGCCAGCCTGGACCACGTGGTGAGACTCTGTCTCAAAAGGACAAAAAGTTCTAATTAGTGTATTTGTGATTACGACAGCAAGATAGAGCCAGCGTGGCTCTAAGTGGGTTCTCTGAGGTGAAAGCACATCGCGAGCCACGCCCTCCCACGCTGGCCCTGGCGTCCCCTGTGGCTGCGGGTCCCGAGCGCGACCACAGACCGTCACGCTCGGGTTGGCCTTAGCGACCGCGCAGCTGCCGTCTCCTCTCACTGCCTGCCTGCTGCTGGGGTTTGAAACAGTCATCTTCTTTTGAAAACAGAAGCTGCTTTTATGGGCGCCTAGGGAGTCCCGCAGGAGGCGGGAGGCAGCCTAATGCTGCCAGAAAAGTTGTGAGTGGAGGCGCGCCTGCCCTAATCGGAATCCCGGAGTGACTTGCTTTAATGAAAAAAGACAAAACGGCACCCTGTCTTCTTCCTCAGGTCCTACACGGACACTTAGGTTTCCTAAAAGCAAAACTGCTTTCGTTCCAATTCCCACCCAGGACACCATGCACGTGTGGCCAGCCCTGCGTGGAACAGGACTCAGGCTGTCCCCAGGACGATGACACCGGCCTTCCAGGGTCCCGCTCTCCAGGCCTGTCAGTTGCTCCTCCCACGCTTTCACTGATGTCATTTATTACTCCGAAACAGCAAGCCCCAGCGTGCCAGCTAGCAGTCCAGTTGCCACGTGCCTGAGCGTGGCTTAAGTTTAGTAGCGCAAGCGCTCCTTGGCGTCCACAGGCCCCACGAGGAAGGGGTCACGGCCACGGCCCTGCCCTGGGGGCTGGGCAGGCCTCAGAGGCGCTAGCGGAGACAAGCCTGGGCTTCCGCCCCCCAGCACAGCAAGAATCAATCAATAGAACCCCACATTTGCACGTTTCGTGACGCGGGAAGCCCCTCCTTCTGCACCTACAGCTGTTCCTAGTCCCCCCCCTTCACCTGCCAAGCCAGGAGGGCCTGGCCACGGTGGCACGGGGGACCCCCTCCCAGGAAGACCCTCCCCAGGGTCCAGTACCAAGGGTGTGTGAGCCACAAACACAGACAGTACCGGACACCCTGGGGCCCCACATGTTCAGGGCCTGACCCTCCGCTCCCCCACGGTGGCCTGTGACCTGACTGCAGCCCTAAGACACTGGTGAGCACGAGCCCCCGGGAGAGCTGAGCTGCAGTGTGGCTAGAGCCACGGACGTCCATGCGGATGTCGGATCCTGGGTCGCTGCACAGCAGCCCGCACAGGAATGATTCTCAGTCACACCCTGACCTAGCTGTGTACTGAAACCCTGGAAACATCAGTGAGGTAGGTGGTATTGGCCCCATTTTACAGGTGGGCAAATTGAGGCAGGATGAAATGCAATAGCTCGCTTTTAATAACAACATACAAAATCTGGAGAAAGCCCAAAGGAGTCCTGTCCCCAGAGCCCGCAGAATGGAAACAGATGGGAGAAGAGCTGCCCTCTCCTACTGACAAGAGGTCTCCACAGGGGAACCTGGCGCCCCCAAGGGGCCAAGGGCCTACAACCAGAACAGCGAGAGAGATGCAGCTCTTGGTCAACTCCCAGCTGGGCAGGGAGGCCCCAGGTGCTGAGGAGAGACCAGGCCACAGCGCGCACACGCGTAAGCAGCTCTGGCTGCAGGGGGCTGGCCTGTGATGGGCCCAGCACGCTGGAAGCGCTGGAAACTGGGCAAGGGGACAGCACAGTCCCTCCGACCCCAGGAGATGCCATCTGCTCTGGGGACCCCGGAAGGATGCCAAGCCCAGCCCCTCAGTCACCCTGGCTACCAAACCCTCCCACCTGGCCTCAGGACCCCAGTTCTGCAGGTCCCTCCAGCCCAGGCCCAGAACTGATGGCCTGGGGCGTAGGCATGTGTGTTGGCGGTGTTCTTTGGCTGGAAGCGAAGGCCAATCTTGGGGGGTTGGGGCTGTCTGCTCAGCTGGAGAAGGTTCTGGAACTGGGTGTGAGGCGAGGTATCCCCAGCCTAGGGTAAAGCCGATGAATGGGTCATGTCCCCATCTCCCCGGGGAGCCCACTGTGACAGTGTGGCGAGGGGAGGGTGCACACTGGGGTTCACCAGGTCACAACACCTTCCTCGAGGCCTGGGAGGAAGTGTGGCCAGTCTGACTCACAGAAGGCCCGGCTGGGTGGTGTCCACCTATGTCGGGTGGGATGCGGCTCGTGGCAGGGCCCTTGTGGGACCTGCTGTCCCTTTGCCGTCTGTGGCCTCCTGGCGTCCCTAGCCCTGTCTGGGTGCAGAGGGTTCTCCGGAGCTGGGCAGGGGAGGTGGGATGCAGGCAGGAGCAGAGCCAGCGGGGGGGAGGACGAGGCACTTCAGTTTGGGCTGGTGTTTGTGGATCGGCCCTGGCCCCGGAGTCGAGCGGCCCTGCCTGGCTGCAGCCCTGGCGCTGGTTGTCACAGAAGACCCCGGTGGCGGTGACAGGTAGGCACTTGGCAGCAGTCCCCAAGCCTAAGGGCCAGGGCTCCATGTGGCTCTGCCATGCTAGGTCATCAGGATGGGCTTCTGCCGTACCTCCAGGATGTCTAGGGGGAGGGAAGCAGACGACACCAAGGCTGAACCCCAGGCACCACAGCCACCCAGCTCCTCTGACAGAGGGACACCACTGCCGCACACTCGTGTGGGCTCAGGCTACAGGAGCGCAGGTACCAGGGCAGAGCCAGCAGGGCCACCAAGACCCCCACCCGGCAGGACTGCAGGTCCAGGTCAGCAAGGTGGCAACCCCGGGGCACAGAGCTGCTCAGGACGCCTCGTGGGACATTTGCAGCAGAAGCCGGGACATGAGGGGGCAGGGGCTGCCAATGCCAGGAGCCCAGGAGCCAGGTTGCCCACTGCAGGTTCTGCGTGTCACGGTCATCGTGTTACCTGTTAAGATCCGATGCAGCGGCAAAGTGACATAGGTCAAGTGTGCATAGAGAAGAAAGTTGCCGTCAGCTCTGTTCAGTTTCAGCCAGGACCCGACCAGGGACCGCCCCGTGCCAGACAGGGAGCGGGAGCGAAGGTTGGTGGCATTGTGCAGGTCAGCTGGAAGGGAGAGGGCAGTCAGGGGCCTGGGCCACCGGAGGCACACACTCCACCCAGCACGCTGCAGCTTGGGAAGGAACCTGGCTCAGCCAGCTTTGGGCATGAGCACTGGGGCGGCCCTTTCCCGTCACCCATCCTGTGGTCGTCGAGGGAGGCAGCCTGCAGTGGCCAGCAGCACTTTCTACCAAGCTGGAAATGCGTGTGGGGTGGGAGCCCAGGGCTCACACGAGAAGAGGCACAGGCCATACTTCCGGGCACCCCCAGGCTCGGGGCGGAGGTCAGGATGAAGACACCAGCTGCCCGTCAAGGCCGCAGGCCTAGTCCCCTCCCGAGGATGCTTGGGCTAGAGCTGGTCCCTGAGTGGCAAAGTCTGTGTGCTCTGCAAACGTGCAGGGAGCCACAAGAGCCCAGCCACGCCAAGGACGGGGACGCCTGGACCTCGCCAGCAGAGCACCCAGACCCAGCCGAGTGGCTTCCTGGGCCTGAACGATGCAGCTGACACCTGATGTCTGCTTGGATGACTCCCTGGCAGTGAGACTGACCACGGAGGACACACGGCCAGAGGGAGGATGTGAGACCGGGCCCGAGCGCGCAGCCCACCAGGGCGCAGGTTCCAGAATAGGGCGGGCGGGCGAGCCAGGGAGCGGCAGGGAAGGCGGCCCACAGCCCTCCGCGCAGAGAAGCCAGCCTGGGCCACAGGAGCCTGGGGCAGCAGGGCATGCCTCTTCTGTCTGTCCGTCTGTCCCCAGCTCCCACCTCGTAGCACCATGCTCTAGACACCAATGAACAAAGGACACCCGGGGCAAGAGCTGCTAGCTGATCACCTCCGCCGTCGTCCTCCCGGAAGAACTCCTCACTGTCGTTGGCCGAGTGGGACTTCTTCATCTCAGCGATGCGGTTGCGGGGCACCTTCCTCTTGAGGGAAGGGGAAAAGAAGGCGGGCCGGTTGTTCCGCTCGGGCGTGGGGGGCGTGCTGAAGGAGGTCACCTGGGAATGAGGGGCTCCGTCACAGGGCCGCTCCCCTGCTGCCCTCCGACGACCCTTGCACAGGCTCTGAAGGGGACAATGGCCAAGCCAGGGGCCCCACTGGGAGAGCACTTGGCCACCCCGAACAGGTGGAGGGGCTCTTCCAGGTGGGGACCATGGCCACACCCGAGCGCAAGGAAGGGGAAGTGGGCAGCACCCGTGCCTGCCTCGGGTCACCAAGCAGCGAGACGGGCACACAGGGTGCAGCGTGGCCTGCTCCAGCACTCTTCCGGCTCCTGAAGGCCTGCCCTCGCACTCCCTGCACCCACTACATCCTGGAGCTCTGTGCTCGTCTCTTCCCCTCCCTTCACCAGCACCCTCCACACCCACTCTGGACAGGTGGGCACAGGTCCCTGCCCTCAAGGAGCTCACAGTCTGCTGGGAGTGACAGAGCGACAGATTCAAAGTGACAACCACGACAACATGCTGGCACTGAGACAGAAAAGGAAGCACAGAATGTGGGAGCACAGAGGCCGAAGGGATGGACAGCCTGGGAAAGCAAGGTAAGCTTCCTGGAGGAGCCGCTGCTCAAGCCGGGTCTTGAAGGACGAGTAGGAGTTCGCCAGGTGAAGAAGGGGGGGAAGGGCGTTCCAGGCAGAGGGAACTTGGCCCAACTCCTCCCTCCTCCCCATGCAAACAAGAATCGGAGCAGCAAGATGAGCTGGGCCTGAGACTTCGGGAGCCCCCTCAGCCGCCTTGTCACAGCTCTGACATCCACCAGAGTCCCGCGCGGCTGCTGGGCTCCAGACGGTGCTCCCAAAAGCCAGGGAAGGTTTTAAAAGATAAGAACAAACACCAGAAACCACAATACACAGTCTACATCTGTCGTGCGCTGGTTACAAGTGGCCCCCAGGGACAGGACAGTGACAGGGCACACACGAGGGTGGTGCCCAGGGGCTCTAGATTGTGGCTCTGCTGGGCGACCCCTGCCACTTGCCCCTGGGCCCACCGGCACCTCGCAGCCATTCCACTCGGGGGGGATGGAGAAAGCAAGGACCGAGCAGGACAGTGACAGGTGCAGTCACACAGCAGACCCAAGGCCAGCCTCGCCTGGCTCTGTTGGCACAGCTGGCCAAGAAGACCAGGCCTGCATCTCAGAGTCAGAGCAGAAGGCCCTAGGGTCTCACCCATCTTCAAAATAAAATTAGCACTTCTTGGTTTTATTTGGTTTAGAAAATACTAACTGCAGAACATATTGAAAAAGAATATGGGTACACATGGACAAAGAAGGCCGCGTCAGGCCGTTAGAACAGCTGCCCCTTCTGGCCAGGGGCAACGGAGGGCCCAGTCCCCCACCAAGGCCACCCCACTGAAGCAGCAGACCAAGTCTCAGAGCGTTAGAGGGGCAGAGGTGGAGATGGCCTGGCCTGCAGCGTCTTGGCAGGGTGCACCGCCAGGCAGCAGCCCCCCACCGGATCACCAACGGGTCCCGCACTGGGGCAGACACACAGGCCAGCAGAGGAGCCGGGGCCCAGGCCCTGTGTGCTCTGCCCAGCCTGTGGGCGTGGGAGGCCTCCTCTCTGCTGTCTCGGGAGGCACGGTGTGTCCCTGGGCAGGGCTGCACCCTCTCTGAGCCCACGTTCCCGCTCACCCTGGGCAGCAGCCCTGCCCAGGTGCGCGGCCCTTACCCTCTCGTGCATGGGCGAGGCTGGGCTGGAACCCTCCTCGGTACCGCAGGGGGACGTGTCTCCAGTGGACACGCGGCTGACGGCCATCTCAGCATGGCCCTTGCCCTGGGGCCCTTTCATGCGCACGAACTCCATATTGTTGTACTTGTAGAAGCCAAATGACATCTTCTGGGCCATGCGCGCAGCCACACTCACCTGCGGTGCATAGGACGTGGCCTGAGTAGGTGGTAGGGCAGCTCCGCAGCGCCCCTCCCCCACGACATGACAGCCCTGAGGGCCCCCCTGGGAGGTTCTGAAGCCGGACACCGGCCTTGCCACCTTGAGGACCCAGGCCATAGCCAGGCCCAGCCGCAGTGCTGCCACCCAGCTCTTCCAGCAGGCACCCACTGACTGAGCGACCTGTCCATCCAGCTGTCCCACGTCAGCACAGAAAGCCAGGAGTGGCACTGCCAGCCCAGGGGCTCCAGAGCTGGGACAGACCACCCACCCTCACTTCCACCAGAAGCAGGGCTGAGGCCCTGTGAAGCCCAGACACGGCCGAGCTCCTCTCCTCCCCGGGCCTCTGCATGGGTATGCCAGGCCCATGTTGGCACCGCTGCATCAGAGGGGCCCCAAGGTTGGCACTCACTCGGTTGTCATACACCTTCTTAAGTGCCTCATAGCGGATGGAGCCCTGGAAGATGACCCCCTGGAATGTGTTGGTTTTGTCACTGGCCACCAGCTCCACACAGACCATCTCTCCTTCCCCCACTGTCATGTCGCTGAACACCTAGAGGGTACAGACAGAACATGTGGCCCTGAATGAGCTTTGGAGCATCTGGGCAGCACAGCTGGGCCACTTGCAAGGCCACCTCACGGTCCCAGGGCTCCAGGTGCTCCAGGAGGAGGCAGCCATGCTGGGGAGGGGCACACTGGCTGGGCTACCACAGGTCCTCTGCTCCAAGCTGGACGGTCCCAGCTGCCTGGTCCACTTCAGCCTGACCTAGTTCCCAAACCTCAGTCAGAAGTCCGGCGGCGCTGACAGGGACCCCTCCCCGAGGACAAGCGCTGGACCCAGGCAGCCCAGGCAGGGATGGCTACATCCTGCCAAGTTCGGAGTTGCTGTTCTAGTGCCTGGCACAGCCCCATCACAGGCTGTCGCCTCCCAGCCCCAGTACTTCTGGGGCCACCCTGCCCCAAGAGCCACCTGACTGCCCAGACCAGCAAGGGCCTGGCCTGAGGATGGCCCTGGGGGACAGGGTCTCCTCTGGTTCCCTGCCTGACACCCAGGTTTTCCCCCCATTTGCCACTCTCCTGTGTCCCACTTCCCCTGCCTTGGAACAAAGGCTTCACCTCCAGCCTAGAGCCCCACCCCCTGCTCCTCAGGGCTCTGCGCGGTTGGCACGGGGCCTCAGGGAGAACACAGCAATAAATATGTGAGGGTTCGCTGCATCCTCCCATCGGGAGTCCTGGATATGCAGGATGGGAGGCCGTGACCCTCATGTACAAATGAGGAAACTGAGGCCCAGAGCTGGGGGAGCTCCCTTGACCCCAGCGGAACCTTGGGAAGAGGGGTCACACCGGCAGGTGTCAAGGCCCTCCCTGCCCAGCTGCCCAACGCCTCCTACAGAAGAAAGCCCTTGCCCTCAAACGCCCCAGAAGGCAGGCAAGGGGACTTCAGCCAGGCTGGGCTGCTCACCTCCTCGAAGCTGTCAATCATGAAGAAGATGTTGGGGTAACTCATCTTCGACTCCTCCCCTTTGCTGTCCATGGGATGCTTACTGGGAGAGGCAAACACTTGCTAGAAGAAAGCAAGAAAACGATGTGCAGTGCTGAGTGGGGACAGAAGCCAGGGCCTCGGGTGAGCCAGGCAAACGCTGTACCACGCAGCTGCACTCGCAGCCCAGGAAGGCAGATTTCAGGGCTGAGAGGCCCCAGCCTGCAGCAGACCCTGAGCCACCCCAGGGACGGGCCACCGCAGCATGCTGCCCAGAGCCAAGGCCAGAGCTGTGTGCTGCGTGCTTGGGACACAGGACCTGGGGTGGAAACGAGACCCTGCAGAGGCCGAGCATAGAGGAGGGGGAGAGGGAAGAAGAGGGGGAGGGTGCAGCAGAGGCAGAGGGAGGGCTCGGGGGAGGGGAGGCGTCCTCCACAAGAACCCCCAGCCCCACTGGCTCCGGCCCCCCGTCTCACCTGTGACTTCTTCTTGTGGATGTGTATGTCACCCCCGTCGGCGCGTGTGCACACAGCACAGGTCACCATGTAGTCCAGCTGGAATAGGGCACGGGCAGTGTGCATGAGGGGTCACTGTCCCTGGGCTGTGCCCGCCCACCCCACCTGCCCCTACCTTCTGTAGGATGAGGTTCAGGCACACGCTCTCCTCCCAGTCGATGTCAGGGTCTCCCAGGCCTGGCAGCTTCTTGGAGTCACGCCGGTACACCTCCACCTCTACCTCAGGCTCGGCCTCGGGCAGCTGCAACACAGGGCACAGTGAGGGTGGGTTGGCAGCGATTAGGACAGAAGGCATCCCCTCCTCCCTCCCACCTGCCTCTTGATGCCACTGGGAGCTGCCCCTCCTCCACACGCCTCTCAAGGTGGTGGCGATAAAAGTGTATTGCTCTGTGTCACTGACCACAGTGCTACTGTGACTTCTGCTGAGCTCTCAGTGGGTGCCTGGGACTAGGATTAGCACTTACAAATCATTAATCCTTGCAGCCTCAAGGAATCCTGGAAGCCAAGGGTCGAAGTTCATGTAACGAGTGAGGATCAAAAGTATTAAAGTCACGTGGGGATGTGTCAAGGAGAAGCCAGGGGTCTGGGCCTCTCCAGAAGGGGCAGGAGGTATACCCCAGAGCAGACTTTGACACAGCCATCCTGTCGGGCCCTGAGGCCCTCATCCAAGGGCCATGGGCAAATCTCCACTGGGCAGTGCCCATGCACCCAAGGCCAGAAGCTGGAGGGGCCCAGGAGCACCCAAGCCTCAGGGAAGCAAGGGAGGTCCACGGAAGGGCTTCCTGGCCCTGGCCTCAGCTCACAGAGCTACTGCTCCTCTCAGGCACCCTTCTTCGTCCTACTTGGTTTAGTTTCTCTTGGGTCTTTTTTTGTACTATTTTCCTTTTTAGTACTGGGAATTGAACTCAGAGCCTTGCACTTTCGAGGCAAGCACTGTACCACTGAGCTACATCCCTGACCCTTGGTTGACTTCTTTCCCCCCTGAGTACTTATGGCTCTGAGATCATCTCATTTCAACCCTGCCAGGAGGCAAGGTGTGGGCTTTGCCCGCAGCAGACGCTCAGCTGACCTCTGCTGGCTGAGTGAATGGAAGGAACGGTCTCGGCACGGCCGGCACCGTGGACAGCGGGCAGCGGGAAGGGCAGCTGTGTGGGGGAATGCGCCTGTCAGGAGACAGCGCCACCGGGCCAGGCGCCTGGGGCAGCCACCCTTGCAGGGACAGGCGCACAGGACCCCAGAGCAGCAGAATGTGGCCGTAACAAGTCAAATGTCCACCACCTGCATGGACAGGCTGGCACACAGGAAGCGAGGGCACTGCATGCAAGCCATGGTGAACACACGCCGCGGGGCCTGCCCTGTGGCCCAGGGGTCTGGATCCAGGGATGCACCTGGCCATATTCCTGAGTGCCTGTTAGGCTCAAGAAACCTGCCAATGGCGAGATGCGCAGCTGCGCGCAGAGCTGCGCCCTCCTTGTCCCTGAGCCATTACTTTCTGCCTGGGAAGTCGAGGATACGATGCTACCCCAGATGCTGAGGGTGCTGACAGGAGTGACAGTGTTTCACGGCATGGGCCACTAGCACAGAGCAGGCCACAGACAGATGCCTTACCCTCCCCACTAACGACTGCGTGGGCTGCCTGGGAAGGGTGAATGAAGCCCGCAGGGAAGCCAGGGCATCCCTCCCAAGGAGCCCCAGGGTGTCCTGGAGCAGGGCGAGGGGATTCCAGAGTCCTATGCCGCCCACACTGCGGCTCTGGCTCTGCCCATCCCTCCTTTCTTGCTAGGCACTGGTAGACTAGCTGGTTGCCGTGGCAACCGGGTACCCGGAAGGGGAGAGTGGGTGGCAGCTTGGGCTTGCCGCAGAGGCCTCGCAGTGCGCAGGCGCAGCACCCCCTCGCCGGCCAAGGTTGAGGGTGGGGTGGGGCCCCCTGCTCCCATGTCAAGCTCGCCCCCTGCAGGCGGCCCCGGGCACTGCGGCCTTGTGAGCAGGAATAAACGCCCTTGTGGTGGGTCCTAGGCATGCCTGCCTTCTCCTCCAAACTGTGCCAGGTGCTACCCTGCCCAGCCTGGAGGCAGGACGCTATGACACATGCTGTGTCACACTTTGGATCACACAAGCCATTACTGCCTCCCTTAGTGCAGGGTCTGGGCGTGACCCCTGTAGCAGGTATGTCCCAAGTCCACCTTGCCCCCTCTGGGTCCTACAACCCTCTGCGCACATGGCACCTCTTTCTGCTGCCGTCTAGCCCTGTTCTTCCCCCATCACAGCCCTGGTGGCCCTGGACGCCATCTGTTGGGCTGTCTGTCCCAACAGGGGTAGACCCAAGTCCCTTCTGGGGGTAGTGGATCACTGTGCGTGCCCAGCACCCCCAGGCAATCCTGTACCTCGCTGACCTAATGTCCCCTGGTGGCTCCTTCCCCAGGTGAACTCTGCGTTTCCTGCTCTTCCACGCAGGAGGAGCTGCCCTCGCCCACCCCTGCACCTACCACCTCCACACGGCACAGATCTGGCACCCTTTCTTGCCCTCCTGACCACACAGCTGTGACCTCTCCTGGAGCTGAAGCTCCAGGCACCACCAACAGTATCCAACACATGCACCAGCAGCTTCCTTGGGCCCCTGGAGGCAACAGCCTTTGTCTCGGGGCAAAGACCACTGTTTCAGGAAGGGACTCTGCCAGCGCGGCTGGGACCAGAGGCTGAGGCCCATGGAGTGAGGAAGCCCCCTGCTGCCAGCCCTTCCCACCAAGGGGGCCTCAAATCACATCACCCTCAACTCCCAGGTGCCAGCGAGGGAAGGCCCTGCCTTCCCAGGCCCCAGAGTGGCGACTGGACAGCCTGGCACACAGTGAATCACAAAGCTGGTCTGGCAGCTGCTCTGCCACCTGCACATGGGGCAGAGAGGGTGACGTGGGCAGAACTGAGGAGCAGAGGCTGGGCTACCAGGTCCCATTATCAGCGCAGGGCTTCATTACCCCATAGGGCACCCTGCCCTGCCACACCAGTGAACGCTCTGCCAGGCCTCCACACCTTCTTGACTGGAGCCAGCACTGGCCATGCCATTCCTGCAGGCCCTTCACTGTGACCATCAGCCGCGGGCGATGTCCCCTGCTGGGGCCCTTCTAGACCATCAGGAGGTCCCCAGTGTCCACCCTCTCCCCCCTGAAGGCACCAGGCCTGTCCACTTGGGACAGGCTTACTCTGTATGTGACCAAGACAGAGCTCCCAGTACAGTGCACAGGTCCTGGGCGACAAACCCAGGGCCATAGTCCCAGGGTCTGCGCCTGGAGCCAGACAGGCTGGAAGGCCCAGGTGTGGTCCACAGCACTCTGCTGTGTGTTTTTATATATCCTTTTTTCTTTTCTTTTCTTTCTTTTTCTTTCTTTTTTTTTGGTACCAGGGATCAAACTCAGGACCTCGTGCTTGCCAGGCACCTGAGCTATCTGCTCACCCCTGCTTTCTATTTTTAAAGGAACACAAAGCATTTCTGTTTGGTATATGGGATGCTTAAGCCCTGTGCAAAGCACTGACACTGAACACAGAAGGAGCGTGCACACTGTGCCTCGTTCACCCCTCCGGCCCCTGGGCTGAGGCTCTGTACCTCCGAGCCCGGGCGTCCTGTCTAGCTGCTGCACTGAGGGCTGGAGTCCACAGGGGGCACAGCACAGAGCCACGCGCCAGGCAGTCCGTGGAGAGGACCCAGCCGGTGGAAGGAGCACCGGCCTCCGCCCTGTCAGGCTGTGTCACATCTATTCCTTTGTGGGAGAGGCTGCCCTTCGGCTGGTCCTATACTGCTCCCTCACAGCCACCACGCTGCTGACAACCACTGCCCTCCAGGATCCCTGGGATATGAGTAACAGCGCACACAGCATGCCAACAAGGCAAAAGGCGAGACTGCGCCGCGCTACGATGTGGGAGGGGCAGCGCACACCTCCTGCTTCTCGGCCCGCAGGGCTGTGGGGAAGGACCTATGGGCCTCGGGCACTGGCCTGGGGGACACCCACCTTCCTCCCATCCACGCTGCTCTCGCCACCCGTGTAGGCCAGCTTCCGGCGAACGTAGAACAGCATGTCATCCTGCCGGGGGGCCCATTTCTCCATGAAGTAGGTGGAGAACATCCACGTCCAGAAGACAATGCGATCATCCTTGAGGCAGCCTGCAGGAGGAGGCAGAAGGGGTAAGAGAGGGTGGCCACTGTGGCCTGATGGGTGACCCTGGCCATGCCCTGCCATCGGTGCTGCATGCTGGATCAGAATTCCACAGGCAGAGCCGCTCTGCTGCTATCCCCTGGGCATCCCTAGAGGCCTGGACACCTCCCAGGAGCCGAGTCCTCCACCCAGCGGCAGGCAGCCTGAGGGCCAGCTCCAGCCAGGGGATGAATCAGCACCTTGGAGGAAAGGAAAACCTACATGCAGAGGAGGGAGGAGGAAGCAGCCAGGCAGGACCGCCCTGAGCAGACACCCGCCCCTCCCTCCCTCCCTCCCTCCCTCCCTCTCTCGC